GATCGCGTGCCAGTGGAAACGGGGCACGGCCAATCGGCGCGCGCCAAGAGCGCGCGCGGCGAAAGCGCCATTCCGAAAGCGGCGCCAGCGCCCCCGCCGGAGAGGCGCGCAGACGCGCAGAGGCGCAGAGTCTCAGGCCCCTGGGCGGGCGGCCGCTGTCCTCTCCCCTCTCCGCACGCCGTCGCAGCGTGCGGCGCGGTCGCGGGGCATGCCCGGGCGGCGCGGCGCCCTTGTCACGCGCCTGTAGGCTAGACGGGGCGGGGGACGTCGTCGGCGCGAGGCCCGTGGTGGACGCTGGGGAGGCGGGCGGACGCGGCCGGGAGATAACGACACAAACAGACGTTTACCAACAATAGCGTGTCCCGTCGCAGATGAGCGCGGTGACACGCCGCCCTACCAACGGCGCCGGCGGTCCCCTGACCGCGGCGTACAAAATTGAGATAAATTAGTGTGGTCAAGGTCGCGCGCTTAGACTAGATTCTGCACGCCGTTCCCCTCGACGGGCAGGTCCTCCCCGACAGCGTCGTCTGCGCGCGCGGCTGCCGCTTCCTCGTCGACGGCCTGCGCAGCGGCGGCGGCCTCGTCGGCGAGCTGCTTGTCGATCTCGACCTGCGTCTTGGGCGTGTTGAGGTCCGCGTTGGTCGGGTTGGCAAGCACGGCGCCGGTGGTCGGGTCGAGCCGCGTGGACGGGCGGATGCCGGAGCCCCGGCACCGCAGGCACGGCACCTTGGTCGCGCCGTCGCACTGCGGGCACGAGAGCGTGTCGCGCGCGGGGTCCGGCCCGATCCGGATCTCGCCCTCGCCGAAGCAGTACACGCACTTCACCGCGCCCTGGCCAAGGCAGAGCACGCACGGGTTGCCGGGCTGCGAGTAGATCCGCCAGGACGGGTGTGCCGTGTTCTCTTCGTCGGGGGAAGGTGACGAGGGCGGCGAGAGGGAGGCTCGGACCGAGGAGCGCGTCAGTGGCCGGCGGAGAGGGGACAGTGCGGAGGGGCGCGACCGGCGGCACGGGAGACGCGCTAGGGAGGAGGCGAAGGCCGTAGGGTGCGTGCGTGGGAGCGGCATGGTGAGGGTGGGGGAAGGTGTTTCTTCAGATTTTTTATTTAAT